CTGGGCCTCCTGCAGTGCCACAACGATGCCACCCGAAGGTTGCAGGAACAGCAACTCATATTCCGCTTGGGAACCCTGCAGCCCAATGGTATCAATGTGGATTTCACAAGTTTCAAAATCTCGCCTCCCCCTACCGCATCCCAAAACCAGTCCAGCTCGTCCCTGCCTCCCTAACCTGTTCTTCCTCCCACCTATCCCCTCCTCCCACCTCAAGCCGCACCTCCATCTCCTACCGACCAACCTCATCCCGCCCCCTTGACCTGTCCGTCCTCCCTGGACTGACCTATCCCCTTCCTAACTCCCTACCTACACTCGCCTTTACTGGCTCCATCCCCGCCTCTTCGACCTGTTTGTTTCCTCTCCACCTATCCTCTCCTCTATCCCTCTTCTATCCGCCTCCCACTCTCTCCCTATTTATTTCAAAACCCCCTTCCCCTCCCCCTTTTCTGATGAAGGGTCTAGGCCCGAAACGTCAGCCTCTCTGCTCCTATGATGCTGCTTGGCCTGCTGTGTTCATCCAGCCCTGCACCTTGTTGTCTCTGATTCTCCAGCATCTGCAGTTCCTGCTATCTCTGTCCTTGTACACCAGTTGCTGAAAGTAATATGCAGGTGCAGCAGGCAGGAAAGAAGACAAATGGTATGTTGGCCTTCTTTGTGACAGGATTTGAGTGCAGGAGCAGGGTTGTCTTTCTACAATTGTACAGGGACCTGGTGAGCCCACACTTAGAGTATTGAATGCAGCTTTGGACTCCTTAGGTGAAGAAAAATATTCTGTCCAGAGATGGAAAGCAATGAAGGTTTACCAGACTGATTCCTGAGATAGCCGGATTGAATGCATAAAGACAGACTGGATCAGTTAGGAACATATTTACTGGAATTTAGAAAAATGAGGGGGATCTCATTGAAACCTATACAATTCTGGAAGGACTAGACAAGGTAAACGCTGTGGATATTCCTAATGACCAAGGGACCCGGAATCAGAGGCTGAGCAGTAGGCCATTTAGGACTGAGATGAGGAGAAATTTCTTCGCCCAAAGGGGTGAACGTGTGGCATTCTCTGTTACTGAAAGCAGTTGTGGCCAAAACATTGTGTTTTCATGAAGGGTTTCGGTACTGTTCTTGGAGCTAAAACAGTATGGGAAGAAAGCAGATATAAGACACTGAGTTGGATGATCAGCCATGATCATATTGAATGATGGAGTAGGCTCAAAGGGCCGAATGGTTTTTCTCTGCTTCTATTTTCTATGTTTCAATGTCTAGTGAATATAGAAAGAGGAAGATTGAGAAAATTATAATGTGGATGTAAAATGGCACAGGAGAAATTGCTTTAAATTTGTGGTATTGGAGCTGGTTCTGGGATAATTGAAATCTGTACAGGAAAGACAGGTTACACCTTAACAGGACTGGGACTAACATCCTTAAAGGCAGATTTGCTGATATTGTTGGTGAGGGTCTATACTTGCATGTCGAGGGGATGGGAAACAAAGAGGGAATTATTTTAGTATAAAAAAAAGCTGATGATGAGAGTGAGCATTAAAATAGCACAAACACGTCCTAAAATCAACTAGAATCAAATTATAGAATAGAGTTATAAAAGCCAAATTAAATGGAATTGCAACAAGGTAAATGAATTGATGGCACTTGTAGAAGTAAAAGGGTATGATTTAGTTAGCATTAAGGAGGCATACCTGCAAGGTGACCAAGCCTGGTAACTGAATATTAATGGATTTTGGACATTTAAGAGAAGGCCCACAGAGGAAAAGAAGAAGGGTGGAGATACACTTACACTAAAAGATAGGATCAATGTATTCGTGAGGGTGGATCTCTAATTGGAAGAATGGAGGAAAGAATCTGCTTGGATGAAGTTCAGAAATAGTACGGGGCAGGAAGCATTGGTAGGACTGGTGTATTGGCCACCAAACAATGTTGGTAATTTAGCTATAAATCAAGAGCTTAGGATGTATATATAACAAGGGGAAGGCAATAATCATGGGTGACTGAATCTGCATTAACTTTACTAAATCTAATGAGCACCAATTCGCTAAAGAAAAATTCCTGGAATGCTTTTGAGTGTGTTTTCTGGAGTGATCCAGGAGTCAAATAGGACACAGACTATTCTAGAACCAGTCTTATGCAATGAGAAAGGGCTGTTTTAAAAAAAACCTCAGGGAATAGTGATCATTCCATGATAAAATTTTCCATTAATTTTGAAAGCAAAGTAGTTCAATCTGAAACAAGAGTGTTCAATCTAAACAAGGACTATGAATGTATGAGGAAGAAGTTTGCTGTGGTGGATCAGGAAATTACATTTAAAGATTAGATTATGTAGTATCTAGTATTTAAAGAATGAATGCTTGCTTTTCAAAAATGCCCAACAAGAGGAATGAGGAGGCCTAGCTAACAAAGCAAGTTAAAGGGAGTGTTGGATCACTGGAGGAGGTTTATAAAGTTTCCAAAAAAGTGTTTTAAGTTTGAGAATTAAAGAACTTTTAAAATTCAGCAATGAATGGATAAAGAAAGACAGAATAGAATATGAATATAAAACAGTAAAGAAACGCAACAGATTGGAAAACTTTTTAAAGTTATCTTAAAAGAAGAAGATTAGCAAAGACAAATATGGCGTTGACAACGGAATTTATCATGCATAATAAGAAACAGCAACAAAAGTAGATGCAATAATGGTGTGGAACTGAAAGAAATTGGTATTGGCAAAGAAAAAGTAGCGCTAGAACATATATTGGGACTATAAGTTGACAATTAGCTTGTACCCTATGAGTGTGCAAAGAGTTGCCTGCAGAGATATTGGATGCGTTGGTGAACACTTTTCAAGATTCTATTAAGTCTGCAATGGTGCCTGGTGATTGACACATTTCAAATGTAACCCTAATGTTTAAGAAAGGAGTGAGAGAGAAAATAGGGAACTATTGACCA